AACAGTAGCCAATCAGTTGTTTTAATTGTCATATTTGAATTCAGCACATCAAAATACATAATAAATAGCACATTTTATCTCTGAAGCAGACGACTTCTCAAAAATTGTAGACCAGTGTTACAGATTGCCAGTGTGCTGTATTTAAAGGATATCTCCCATTCATACACAATTGCTTCTCTCTGGTCATCTCCTTTTAAATACAAGTTCACATCTCCACAAACCCTACAACAGATTAAAGCCAACTTCCTTATACCAATGTAAAATAGTTAAGTCACTGCTAACATACCTAGTTAATCTCTGTACTCGAGGGTCTCGGTCATTATCCCTCTAAGATGATGATAAGAGAGATTGGATCCTTTACCAGACACACTTCATGGTTTATAGCAGGGGTAGGCAACCTATGGCACGCATGCCAAAGGCGGCACACGAGCTGATTTTCAGTGGCACTCACACTGCCTGGGTCCTGGCCACCGGTCCGGGGGGCTCTGCATTTTAATTTAATTTTAAATGAAGCTTAAACATTTTAAAAACCTTATTTACTTTACATACAACAATAGTTTAGTTATATATTATAGACTTATAGAAAGAGACCTTCTAAAAACATTCAAAGTATTACTGGCATGCGAAACCTTACTTAGAGTGAATAAATGAAGACTCGGCACACCACTTCTGAAAGGTTACCGACCCCTGGTTTATAGTAATCTCCCAGGTAAACACAATGTAGGAATAGTAGGTAATGAACCTTTACACATGAACTGAAAGTATATTACTATGAAAGAGGAGAGCTGGTTGATATTGATGTAGGTCTCAAGTTGATTTATGTTGTTTCCATGTGTTATATGTTTGTGCATAGTCTCATCTAGCTACATGTTAATGTGTTCTCTTTGCTTTTGCTCACTTCATCTTTGATCTCCCTCTGTCACGGATGTAATTAAGCATCCTTCCCCAACATACCTTGTCTCCATATATTAGTGGTATGTCAAATAAAAAATATTTGGGGTGAAAAAAAGGAAAACTCCCTCATAATTCTCTCTTTACACCATTAACTGTGTAAACTCAACAGGTCCATCTTCAAAATACAAGTGCCTTGTCATCATACTGAATACAGCTTGACCAGTCAAAGCCTTTGTCTAAGGCAGTGGCTCTCAAACTTTTTTACTGGTGACCCCTTCCACCCAGCAAGCCTCTGAGTGCGACCCCCCTTATAAATTAAAAACACTTTTTATATATTTAACACCATTATAAATGCTGGCGGCAAAGCGGGGTTTGGGGTGGAGGCTGACAACTCGCGACCCCCCATGTAATAACCTGAGGGGTCCCGACCCCCAGTTTGAGAACCCCTGGTCTAAGGCTTTCTCTACACTACCACTTTTGTTAGTAAAACTTTTATTGGTCACAGTTGTGGAAAAAAAACACCCTCCTGACCCGACATAAGTGTCACTGGCAAAAGTGCTGGTGGGGACAGTGCTATGTCTCCTGCTGACATAGCTAACGCCACTTGTTGTGAGTGGTTTAATTATGCCAGCAGGAGAGCTCTCTCCTGCCGGCAAAGAGCGGCTACACGGGAGACCTCACAGCAGTGCAGCTGTAGCGGTACAGCTGTGCTGCTGGAAGTTCTGTAGTGTAGACATAGCCTAAGAAACCCTAGCCAGCAACACACAAACACTTCCTTTCTCCACCCATACTCCCATTTGATAATATCAGGAATGTCTCTCACATTCACATTTATTAGCAAGAGGAACAAACATCAGTTTTTAGAGGCAGGCCATTCTGCTCCAGCCACCAGCCTTGTTCTGCTGCACCAAGGTTGTTTGTGTTCTTGTCTATCAGGGTTCCTCTCATGCTCCGTCTATTAGTAGCCTTTTATGTAACCTGTTGAATACTAACACCAGCTCTACACTACAGACTTGTGCCAGCATAGCTATTTGGGTCAGAGGTGTAATGAGATATGATTTGTGACCAACATAGCTGTGTTGGCAAAAGTGCCTAGTGTAGATACAGTTATATCAGCAAGTGCACTTTTTTCAGTACCACTTATTTTGCTCAGGGGGGTCATGCCACAAAAGTGCAGTTTAGCCAGTCCACACTAGGAGTGTGTTGCCAGTATAGTAAATCAATATAGCTATATTGGTAAAGCGCTCCTAGTGTAGATCTGGCCTCTTAAAACCAGAAAGCTAAAGCTATAACAAGATCCAATGGCTGTGAGTTGAAGCTAAACAAATACAGACTGGAAATAAGGTGTACGTTTTTAACTGTGAGAGTAATTAACCATTGGGATAATTTACCAAGGGTTATGATGGATTCTCTGTCACCGACAATATTTTAAATCAAGATTGAATTTTTTAAAAGATATGCAGTAGTGCAAAAGGAAATACGTTGGGGAAGTTCTCTGACCTGTATTATACAGTAGATCAGTCTAGATGATCAGAATGGTCCCTTCTGGCTTCGGAATCTATGAATGTAATGAAATACAGACCATTTAAAAGTCACATTTCAAAGGGGTCCAGCTTTCCGAGGTCCTTGAGAAAAACACCTGAAAAGCAGAAGAGAAAGGGAGTGACCCACCTATGCCAAAACATGGCCAAGGTGAAGCAATCTGCCATAGTAAAAAGATAAAGTGTGTGAGGAGACCACTGGAAGGGAAGGGAATGTGAAGTGAAATAAGAAAATGAGAGACAGCAAAAATGGCAACCAACAGGAACAGAGAGAAAGAGCGTACCCATCTCTATGTTCCATCAGGATCCCATGTATTGTGTGGCCTATCTGAGCAGTGGTCAGGAAAATACCACCTGCAACCAATAGCAATCATTCTTTTACAGCATCCTAGAACCTTCTACTCTTTTTGCATCATCCTGCTAAGATAGAGGTGTAGTAGCATTCTTTTATAAAAGGAAAGTTTAGCCCTTCTGATTGTAATACACTTGGCAGTAAGAATCATTGCAGTCAAAGACAGATGGGTCAGTGCTCCTCTTGGGAAAGTTGTGCTTATAACTGATCATCGGTGATGGTGTGGAAAGCAGTACTTGATAAGTAATACATGCTTTAGACTGCAGTCTTTTGTATTCACACACAACTTACACATGGAAGTTGTATGTGGAAACTTACAGTCCTGTTATATATAAGCAATGTTCTACTTGTAGCTGCTGGGGATGGTGGAAAAAAGGAAGGACGCTAGTGCCAGAAGAGAGATTGGAAGTAGGGTGACCAGATGTCCCGATTTTATAGGGACTGTCCTGATATTTGGGGTTTTTTCTTATATAGGCTCCTATTACCCCCCACCCCTGTCCCAATTTTTCACACTTGCTGTCTGGTCACCCTAATTGGAAGTCTGGCTGGCTGAAGGATAGGGTTGATGCTGGACAGCAGGTGGTAGTGTGAATGGCAGAGGATCGTGTGGTCTGAAATGGCATGCTGATGGGGAGAAGAGGGAATGGCTCTGTAGCTGGAATAGAGGCAGCGATGTGTATGTGTTGCTGTGTGGGACAGCTTCTGCTCATATCTGGTCCTGAACTATAAGTATCTCCATCTAAACCAGTGGTGGGCAACCTACGACCCATGAGGGTAATCCACTGGTAGGTGCGAGAGTGTTTGTTTACATTGACAATCCACAGGCATAGCTGCCCGCAGCTCCCAGTGACCGTGGTTCGCCATTCCTGGCCAATGGGAGCTGCAGGAAGCGGTGGCCAGCCCGCACCGCTTCCTGCAACTCTCATTGGCCGGGAACGGCGAACTGCAGCCACTGGGAGCTGCGGGCAGCCATACCTGCAAATGGTCAATGTAAACAAACTGTCTTGCGGCCCACCAGCGGATTACCCTTATGGGTCGCAGGTTGCCCACCACTGATCTAAACCCTCGTGGAATTTATGTTCACTTAATGCTGTTAATTCTGCACCATCCCCATTGTAGTTTGCAGCTGATGGGTGGGTTTAGCTGGTGGTACTTCCCCTTTCTCCTGAAACCAAGCCCGCTTCCCCATACCAGCTCACAGAACGGCATATGCTGTGTGGAGCCCAAGTACTTGCCTCTGTCCTCCTCCCCACCCAGCAGCCTGTCAGCAGAAGCATTTGTGCATGGAAAAAGCACTTTCCACATGGTCATGTGATACAGAGGAAACAGTTACATGAACTTTTTCATAAAGATAACAGTGATTTGGGAGCCTAATTACCACTGATTTTCAATAGGATTTTGGCTCCTAAGTCACTTAAGTGCTTTTGAAAGTTTTACTTTTAATGAAGAATGAAGATTAAATTCCATAAAGAAGGAACAAAACGATGGAAAGCTCAATCGGTAGAAAGAGTCTAAGGTAGAAATCATTAGAGACAGCACGCAGTACATTACACTCTATGCATGGCTTGGCTATACACATCCAGAGTAGCTTCACAGACTTCAGCAGAGTTAGACTGGATTTACAAAGGACTAAATGAGGGCAGCAGAATTTGTCCATTTGTTTTCAATTAAATAACCTCATGTGGGGTTGGAAGGTGCAGAAGGTCCTAGAACACTGAAGCATAGTTCCTCAGGAGGGTTCATGTCTCTCATACAGTCCAGTCCAACACTATCAATTAAATTTTCCAACAAATTATCAATTAAATGTATTTATGGAGCACTTTACTCATAACGAACCACATTCTGTCCTCAATTATACCTGTTCAACCCTATTTGTAACATAGAGGCCTATAGCTCTGATCCCAGCAGGATGGTCTGTCTAAAATATGGTAGAATTCCACTGTAGTATCTAGGACCAACTTTTCAAGTCTAATTGACACCACCGTATATTTCAAATGATTGTCTTTGCTCAAAACGTGCCGGCCAGATCAGGACTGAAGTTCACTGATAGTTTTATGAGGGGGAGTTGGCACAGCATTAAAGCCGAGCCATTTTTCAGTGGCCAAAACAAATTTGTTTGGGTTGAACAAAAAGTTTCAAACATCATTTCAAAAAGACATTTTTGAAACAAAATGTAGATTTAAAAAAATGTTGACATTTCTAAAAAAAAAAGTCATTTTTTTTTCAACCAAAACTATTCACCGAATTCAACCTGAATTCACAAATAGTTTCAGTTCCTTGAAAAAATGCATTTTTTGGCAAATTTACTATTAGCCAAACTAAATTTGCCCAGCTATGCATGGCACTAACATGCACTGTACTTGTGTCTAGTCAGTAACATCACTTCCTTGCCTTAATATGCTCTAAAAATAACATTCTTCCAGAAAATAGTGTTTTTGAAAGATAGAAGAATGTTTTGTCATGTGACTGAAGGTCTAGGGCTATGTCCTGTCCAGGTCAGCTCTGAGAGGAGAAATGAATCAAAACAAATCCTGTGGTCTAGAGTAGAATTGAATAGGCATGCTAGGGAGAAGATTTGCCTCCATCCTTAAATATATACAAATGGGCATATGTCTGGATCTGGATTTGCCTTGACTCTTAGATATATACAAATAGGTATATGTGTCCATGTGAAGTTTAAAGGCTACAGAATTTATACAAAATAAGCAGTTTTTAATGCTTTTATACATTCACCATCCTCCTTTGTACATGTCTACCTTGCATATCACATACCTAGCAAATATAATCAAATGAGTAGGGGAAATTCCTACACAAGCATACTTACTTTTTAAAAGTGAAAAACTGGTTTTATTTAATTGATGTGAATATCAAATTTACATATGGTTTAAGTCGTAGCAAATTAAAAGCTCTTATATTTACAGGTTATTTTTCTGAACATATGATGAACATAAGAATTTGTCCTTTGTACTATACAATTGTGGTGACCAACGCCTGGATATAAAAAATTACAGGGCTTCCTTAAAGTGTACGTCAAACATCACAACCTCATATGAATTTTTAGCAGCATATTTAATGTATTGCAATTGATAAATACTCAAAATGTTGTGTCTGAATTTCAGGGGAAAACAAATATAGATACGTTATGTAGACCAATATGATGCCACATACTAAAAAAATTTCTCAAAACCTTACATTGTTTTATAACATGCTGTCTTGGTGGCTATTAAGTAAATAGTTGTGATATTCTAGAAAATCTTAGTTTGCATTTTTGCTATTTGTTTCAATTTGATACCATTTCATTTTAATCCTGTGCCATACAAATGTTCCTCTAGATGGTGCTCCATAATCAAGAATTGCATTTTAATACTATCCCATTCTAAAGACTCCCGAGAAATAGTCTTAGTCAAGAAGACAGTCTCCTTTGTCTCTAAATTCTGTATTATAATAATTCCATCTGTACTGCAATTTACTGACTTCTGATTCAGTAAAATAGAAATACATTATTTATTGCTCTTGCAAATCTTAAAACCTATGCACTATAACACAAAATGCCATCTGTGTGGAATAATATCATCTGAGCCGCTGTGGACTGATCCATATCTCATATCTGTTATGGCAGCCATTAAGTGGTGTGAGCTGTTCAGTGTCCTGTTGAGCTGCTAGATGGTATGTATGTCATTGATTTAATTGTGATAATTTTTATTTACAAAGGTCACACATAATATAATTCTCTCTCTAAATATGTAATACACACCCATGTAGGTGCAAGTGTTTACATTGGATGTAGTGTATAAGAAAACAAGTAATTCTAACAACAATGGTAATGTGTGTCCATATATGTATACACAGATATAGAAATATATATTAGACACTAAGATAAATAATTTTACCATTTAATTAATATATGTATCACAACATTGTGGAGACAAAATGTATACAGGAAAACTCACAAGTTATTCAGTTCCTTTCAAACTAGGAAAAAGCAGAATAGGTCCTAACTGACTGTCTAATTTTCATTATTTTTGGTATTAGAATTCTCCTTTTACACATCTATGTTTAAGGGCCTGATCCATCGTCAGGAATCTTTCCATTGACTTCAGTGAGTTTTGGATTGGGCCCTGAATGTTCACGCATCCTCTAGTTCATGGGTTCTCAACCTTTTTCTTGCTGAGGCCCCCCTCAACATGCTATAAAAATGCCAGGGCCCAGTGGGGGTGGGAGGGGGAACTCAGGGCTCCGGGCCAGGGGGGAGACCCTTGGGCATAGGCATAGTTTTACTTCTATTTGGCGGTGGGGGACAAGCCCTGGCAAGGCTCGACCCAGCTCCGGAGAGCAAGGTCCAGGGAGGGAGCACCACCTTCACCCCCTGACTCACTCAGGAGGCCACCGAGCCTTTCTGGGCTGTGGGTGGGTGGGGGGAGATGCAGCCAAAACATATAACTCGAAGACGGGATTCAGTTCAAAAAGTTTGAAAACCGCTCAGGGTGCAGGGAGAGGGCTAGCTAGGGGCTGTGTGCAGGCAGGGGGGTAGCTCAGGGTGCAGTGAGAGGGGTAGCTAGGGGCTGTGTGCAGGCAGGGGGGTAGCTCAGGGTACAGGGAGAGGGGTAGCTAGGGGCTGTGTGCAGGCGGGGCATAGCTCAGGGT